TTGACGCAAAAAAAATTCTTTACCAAATCTTGTAAAATTTTAAAATTTTTTATATTCCTATTAAATGCGTTATTTTGTATTAATTTTAATAAATCTATATAAATACAATTTATTCACGCAAAAAAAAACACGGAAAAACCGGACGGCGAGAGAAATTTGACCAGCGAAATTAGATACCGGAATCAGATGAGAAGGCCCAGAGAGCCAAAAAAAACTTAACAAAACGTACGAGAGGATACGGTAGAGTACGGTGGGGTACTGTAGAAAGGGGGCGTGGCTTATCCGGGTGGCCATTGCAGCTGACGACCGCCGAGGACATGTAGATGGATGTGGAACACCGACTGGCAACCGTCTTTCCCGTTGTTGATTACCTGAAAAAAAAGAAGAAAATAATGGGATTAAAGGTGACGCGACAGTTCCGCAAGATTCTCTGCTGGCTTGCTGGCCCCTTAAAGATCCTACAGGTTCACTGCTAGCCTGCCCGCGTCCCGAGAGCGCCTGAAATTTCCTAAAGGATTTTTGCTAGCCTGCCCGCCACTCAAAGCCTCTCAGAGTTCCTAAAATTCTCTGCTAGATGGCCCGCGTGCGCCCGGAAATTCCCTTATGTTGTCTGCAAGGGTGCCCCGCGTCTGGAATTTCCTCAAAAATCTCTGCTAGCCTGCCAGCCAGCCTCTCAAATTCCTAAATAATCCTTGCTAGCCTTCACCGGGTCGAGAATTGGAAACTTCCTAAAGAATTTCTGCAAGCTCGCCCGCTCGTCTAAAATTCCTCAAAGCTTCTTTGCTAGATCCCCAGACCTTCCAGAAAAATCGGCCAGAATTTCCCCAGGAATCTCTGCTAGTTTGCCTTTACAGTTCCCTAATTTAGCGATTAAAAGACGATTTTCAACCGATTACGCTATCAAAATAGGGCTGAATCGACGGTGAAGCGGAAAAACTACGCGCACGGATTCGATTACGCCATCAAATGCAACAAATTCGAAAAAAGCTTAAAAAAAATTACCGTGCGATATCCGTTGTCGAGCTTCAGCTCCTTGGCCACGCGACGAGCGGTGAGGAGCAGCTTGCCGAGGAGGGCTTCATCCTAAAAAGCAGATTAAGCTGAAATCCATCAAAATCGGTACCTTGTCCTCAGCGTCCTCGAGACTCGGGATATGCTTCTTGGGGATGACGAGGAAATGGACCGGCGCTTGCGGGGAGACGTCGTGGAACGCGAGAACCTGAAAAATGGGATAAAATCACGTGAAAAGGGTCTAAAATCCTCAAAGATTTGTGCTAGCCTGCCCCTACTTCCTAAAGAATCTTTGCTAGTTTACGCGCACAAAAAATACGCAAGCACCAAAAATACCGATTTTTCACGCCTAAAAAAAGCTAAAAACCAAAAAAGTACTTTGGAAATTTCCGACCAATATTTCTCGATATTCTGAAGGTTTCTATGTAAAAAAACAGACATCATCGTCCTCGTAGATGATCTTGGCGGGAATCTCCTTCCTGATGATCTTCCCAAACAGCGTGTCGCCGCCCTTTTGCGCCGTCTGCGCCTTCTCCACCTCGGTGGCCATCGCGCGAACTCGTTGAAGTTGAGGGATGAGCCTGGAAAATAGTATTTAATAGACTATAAGATCAGTACAAAAAAAAAGAAAGAAAAGAAAACATACAGAATCTGACGGGCAAAAAGGGAGGCCCTCGAGAAAGTGGCAATCGGGAGCCGGGCACGCCCCAGCATTCAGACCACTGAAAATAAAGAGGAAATAGAAGCTAATTTACGACGAAAAATGGCAAGAGCATAAAGAAAATACGAAGAATGGCGCCGGAAATGGATTTTCCAGAGTTTTTCGGTTCAAAAACACCGCAATTCAGCGATTTTTTTGTCCAAACAGTCGGAGCTCTCGAAAAGTAGCCTTTTAGAGCTTCAAATTAAAGCCAATCGACAGCGAGAAGGTAGAATAGCAAAAAATGGGTTTCTGGCGAATTTATACACCTTTTTTCAAAGATTTGCTAGGCTAATTACATTGAAATTGCATCAAAAAGCCTTGAAAAACACGTGGTTATTGAAGTTTTTGAGTAGCTCTTTCTAATCAAAGACTTCTGAAAGAGTTTAGAGCCGAAATTGACCGGGAAAGAAAAACTAAAAAACACCTTCAGTACGGCGCTATCGAGTTGCACGGGCTGGCAGAGGAGTTTTAAAAAATTTTGGACCGAAATTTTCGGGCGATTTTCTCGTATTTTAGGGAATTTCGGGTTTAGTAGTCTGCTAGAAAAATACTACAAAAACAAGCCCAAAATCGCTGCAGCCGAACGCGCCAAAAAGCGTTGATAAGCACCGTGTTGTTGGAGACTGTTCTCCCACCGGGAGGCGTGGCTTGGCCGTTGTATCGAGACTGTTCGTCCCCCTGCTGCTAGGGGTGGAGACCTGTTTTCCCGGGGTGGTAGGAGAAGGGGGGCTTTGGTTGTGTGTGTGAGGGAGTGTGTGGCTGTGGTGGTAGTGGCTCTCCTCGGCTGTCCCAATTCTCGGCCAACGGAACGGGTGGCGAGGCGAGAGTCGGGCGAGAGAACACCGCAAATTGAGAGGGCCCAGCCCGGCAGCTCCCGATCGCAAAGCGGGCACACGATTCGCGTGTCGTTAGGCGTGTCGTGTAGCCCCCGGTGGCCCTGTTTGCCGATTTGGACGCCCCGGGCCAGGCCGCAATGAGGACCCCGGAATTGGGCCCCTAAAAATTTAGGAAAAGCTGAAGGGATGGATTTTGAGCGACAACTCGAATGAACTTGCGCTTTTTGAGCTTCACCTCGATTCCAGGCCCCCCACGATTGCCCTAGTTTTTATGGCCGTGACCCAATTGTCGGGCGATAACTTATTCTGTCGGATTTTTGGCAGGTTTTTGGGGTTTTTAGGGGTCTGGAAGCTTGAAAAGTACTACAATAAGCGCTAATTTATAGCGGCCAATCGACTTGGCGATGTTTTCTTGATTTTCAGGCTCATTTTGATGCCTCAGAAGTTTTTATGTCATTTTAGAAAAACTCGCTTGGCTAGCCACAACGAAAATTTAGCACCCCTTGATTTCTGCAGAGTCATGCTCGATTCAGCAACTTTTGCAACCCGTTTCGAAAGTTCTAAAACGCTTTTCTTGCTAATCTGTTCCCTCTCTCGTTTTTCGTCGTTTTCTCGCATTAATAAGCGGCACAATCGATATGATACCCATCTCTTTTCATAGCGAAATCGGTCACTTTTAGACGCAAACTCGTCCCGCTGAAATTGAGAAAAATAAGGGCTTTTTGCCTAGTGTTTTACAATTCGATTTTAAAGGGATGAACCGTGTTTTTTCTATTTTTCGCAAAAAAATACGAGTTTCTTGACTTTTTTCTAAAGCGGTTTTTTCCTATTTTGATGCTTCGACTGCGTTGCTAGGGGATTTTTCTGAAGTAGTTTTTCACGTTCTCACATTTTTCATTTCGCACATTTCTCACATTCGTTTTTCCGGGTTGGTTTAGGCTTTAGATACTTTTTTCTGCAGTTTTAAGCCGTTTTTTGAGCATGGATTCGGCTGACCGCGTTTTAGATGGTTCATCAATGGCCCTGGCGTTCTTTCAGCATCGTTTTTCTAGGATTTTAGTTTTCTAAAGGTCGTGATGAGGTTTTTGAGACGTTTAAACCGTTTATAGCATGTTTTATGCTTTCCTCGAGTTTCTAGGAGATTTTCGAACAACAGAGTTTCAAAAACGCTTAAAAATGGGCATTTCAAGCTTTTCCGAGCTCCCGGAGGCTATAAAACCATTTAGAGCTGTTTTTTTTTACATTTCTATAGTTCTCTGGTATTTCAAAATGACTAAAATAATGATCACTAATTTTGCAGGCACCTGCGAGCCGCAGCTCCGTTTGGCCCGGGCCTTGATGTGTTTTGTAGTGCGGGGATGGCCGCCTCGACATCTGGCATGATGGTCCCATCAACAGCCCTATCTTCACAGTCATCATCAGCATCACAGGGCCAATGCCCTCCTCCTGGGCCCTCTGCTTCTTCGGCCATCAACAATCCACTTCCGCTTCAACACCCATCGACAGCCCACTCAATGTCATCGACAATGACAGCTATCGGACAACAGGTATGCTTCTGATCTGACCAAAACAGGGTTTTTTAGGTGCTTTTCGGGTTTTACGATGTAAGAAATGTAGCTCATTTGAGAGCTCAAAGCTTCAAAAAGCTCTTTCACGAAACCAAAACTTTTTATAAGGATCGAGCGTTTCTGATAGAAATAGAATTGGTGTTTATAAAATGTTTTTTACTTTTCCTAAGCGTAAGAACTTTGCAAAATTTGATAAAAAAACACAAAAATTTTTTCAACACAACACATTTTTTCCTAAGCGTTTTTCTACTTGACTATCCAGAATTTTAAGCTCTAACGAACGAGCAACATCTCTCAGATTGAAAAATTCCAAAAAAAAGCGCATAAAAACGGCCGTTATCAGTCGTTATATCTCAAAAGAAGCTCGTAACAAAACGCTGTTTCCAGGCCGCCTACACGTCCCAAATGTCATCCACCGAGGCCTATGCGATGCAGAT